CCTTAATAGTGCAAACCTTCAAGTTTTATCGTTTAAAATCATGTGCGGTTCGATTCGTTTCTGTTGTTTCCCATTTTTTCTTTCTCGATTTCGTTCACATCGAAATGAAACATTCGTTTCGCGAAACGTGTATTCGAAAACACCCGCGCCCGAGCTCGGTACGCGAGTAAGTATGTAGGTACGTCAGGGTTGTATATGCCCCTCTTGCTTTCGATTCCATTTTCCCGGTTCTTGAATCTGTCTCTCTGTCATTGGCCAACCAATCGTGAAGGTCAGCCGTTACGTTGCCGCGGGATGGCGCTGTTTCGGAAAGAATCGTACCTTCGAAATGCGAAGCATGTTACACGTTTCTGTTCGATTCTCGCGCGCAATCTGCTTTGGCAATGACGGCACCTTCGCACAATGGAAAATGGAAGATTTTTTACGGGAACGGATTCTGTGAAAGAATTTTATTTTGAATTATTCGGACGTGTTGTTTTCATTGCTGTTTCACGTTATTATGGATACCTGTGACAAATTGTGGACGCAATAATGCCCGGAATTCGAAAAGAAACCAGAACTCGATCAACTTGTCGTCTGTTGACAGTAAATAAAGATGTTCAGTCGAATACTACATAACTCGTGCGATTGTTTATCTTTGATCACTCACGTTAGCCAGTCGAATAAGGGAGCGGATTTAGCTCGTCGATTCTTCTACGATTCTGCCGTGATAGGTTCAGTTGTAGTTACATTTTTTCGAAATGCGATCGAATGGTTGACTTTCAGTAGAAACTATAGTTTTACTGCGTGCAATATTTCATCGTTGAAACACGTTTCGATATATATATATATACGCATATATAGTTTTTTTATCTATTACAAGGCAGGATAATGCGACGTCCAATGCTGCCACGGTTCTACTTGATTTCACTAATAAGTGAATATTTATGTTATAGCTTAAACTACGTTTAGAGCGTATGGACAGACGTGTGAACTTACAAAAATTGAGATCGGAAAACAATGAAAATTCCATTACATCGGAGCATATTGGAGCTTGTTCTCCTCCGAGCATTAATTCTGTGAATGTGCCATCGACCAGTGAGATTCATAGGAACGTACAGGCGGAGAACAATAATTCTCAGTATAATGAAAGCTTTAAAATACGTTTGAATACTAGTGGTGGAATTACTACTGTTAAACAAGAACCAAATGATAATCAAGGAAAACTTGAAGCAAAAATAGAAACTGGTAGTGATATTAGATTAGAATGGGAAGAAAGAAAGAAAAGAAGATCAGATCCAATATCGTTGTCCGGTGGAAACAAAAGGAAAAGAGGAGTTTCGTGTTCATCTACAATTAGCAATGATACGTCTTCGACGGTACAGGATAAGGTATTAACTCACGAAACAACCAGAAAAGGTGATAGGAAGGGCAAGCTATTGGCAAAGAAGCAGTCGTTTCTTACAACGGAAGAGCATTATTATACAGCTGTTGGAGATCCTAATTATACGTTAAGTTTGAAAGAACCTAGTCCAATGGAAAGTGATACCTCTTTGGAAGTTCCCAATTGGAGAGTGAAAATATATACGAGTTGTTATACGATGGAAGGGACTGAAAACTTAGACGACGAAATTTTCAACAAGAGGCATTTAAAATTGGAAAACGACGAACGAAGAAGAAAAAGATGGGATGTACAAAGGATAAGGTACGTTGACTATTCTAATTAAAACGAAATGCGCATTTAATTGTTCTTTTGTCCGAATTATCCGTGTATCGACGATATATCGTAGTACATTTTCCCGTAATTATTTCTTCCAGAGAACAGAGGCATATCGAAAAGCTGAAACAGAGACAGGAACGACAAAATCATCAAGCCACGTGTTACAATACCAATCACACGGGGCCCTGTCCCTCCACGATCGAAGAAGAGGCTGTGTCGTCGTTATGGCCTGACATGGAGCACATACAAAGTCTTCAAGTGGATGCCCAATTACCTGTTACTGCATTTGGTGCTCCTATACCTAGTTTTACTCCAAGGTAAATAGAAACGTATTAATAATAAAAGTTCGCGCAGCTATCGATACACGTTAATTAACGATTCATCTTTCATTGCAGCGAATTTTCTTTACCTTGGTCGAACATGCCGCGATCAACTAGTCGGCGACCAAAACGATCGACGGGTAGAAGAAAATCTACTAGGAGATAAACTTTTACGACAATGGACTTGACTACCTTTGTCTTATAATTTTTAATCTTTGTTATAGACTTGCTCCCTTATACTTCCGTTTTTCTTTTTTCTAATATCATATTCTTTATACTACGTGAAATAGGGGCACCAAAGATATTTTTATTACTTTTTTTAAAATATAATTCAGGAAAGATGCCTATAATTGATAGGAGTACCTATTATCTTTTTATTTTCTACATATTCGGTCGGTGAAGTTGTTTATTCACTGCTGAGAT